GCGCAGAGACAGGCGACGGACCCTCCTCCGCAGGGCCCCCTAAGTCAACGGACTCCTCCGCCAGGGCAACCGAGGTAAGGGGGGTGATGTGAGACACACCAGACGGGGCAAGACGGAGAGCGGGAGCTACCGAGGGAGTGGGGACAAGGAACAGGGGTGGGGTAACCGGGAGACCTCGGTGGGGAAAGCGGGTGTAGAAAGAGACAAAATCGTCAAAGGTGACGTCCCTCGAGTGGACGAAGCAGTGAGACCGCGGTTGGTAAAACTATTAGTCAGACGCGTCAAGGGGGAAGCAAAGGAAGACACAAGGGATGGTGCTGGCAGTGAGCTTGTCCATGCCAGAGGCGCGAACGTGAGCGAGGCAGCCCTAGACGTAAAGCGCAGATGCATCACCAGTGGACTCGGTCTAGAGGAGGGTCGGCGAAACATGCGGCCGCTAGAGTGTGGCCACAGGTTAAGCTGGTGAGCGGCGTAGCGAACAGCGAATGGCCATAGAAAATGGGGTGCACCGGCATGGATCATGGAGGTACGAGCCACCTCCATGACCAAACCGATGCGTATCCCAGCGACCCCATTTTGCTGCGAGGAGTCCGGCTAGGTGTACGGCTGGGTGATGCCCTCTGCACGACAGAACTGGCTAAGCCGACCGGAGGCGAACTCACCGCCATGGTCGGAGTGGAGACGAAGCACCTGCAGGCCGCGGTGTATTCGCGAAGCTACAACCTACGGGATAAGAACGCCAGGCATGTCAACCTTCTGCTCTAGGGGAAACACCCTGGTATAGCGCGTATAATCATCGACGAGCACCAGACAATAGCGCTCGCGACGCAGCCCAAAGATGGGGCTTGGGTCCCAAACGTCCAAGTACAGGGTCTGGAGTGGCGCACTGGTGGGGGGAAACGAGGAGGAGTGAGGAGCATGGCACAGCTGGTCCTCGACGCAGGGCGTGCACGGAGGCGCAGGCGAGGGAGGGAGGGCAGGGAGCGACAAAGGGCGACCTAAGACAAGACTATGCTGGGACATGTGACGGAAACGCGGGAGTGCAGGGTGGCCTAGGCGGTGGTGTCACAAAAGGGATGGGTGGGTGAGTGACCGACACGAGCAAGCTACAGCGCCCTGAGTAGGCACGGCCACCTGGGGGAACGCCCCCACCGGAGGGGACGCGGTGTCGAGCTTGAACAAGCCAGACACCGGGTCCCGGGGGAACGTGGTGAGGGGGGCACCAGTGGCGACCTCGGTACAGACAGAATATCGCTCGTGTCCTGTAAACTAGTTGTGAGGCCGAGGTTCTGAAGACAGCCGACACCAGCTAGGTTCCTAGAGAATGAGGGGATGTGCAAGCCTGTAAGGGAGCCCGACGGAACTGCCGGACAGGGAAGGGTGGTGGAGCTACGTGCAACTATCAGACCTGAGGTGGGATCAGCAAGCGCTACAGCGGCAGGGGCGGCAAACGGCGTGAACGTAGTCTGGTCGCAAAAGAAGCAGGCACACGCACCAAAGTCCAGCATGAAGGAGAGCGCGGTGGTAGCGTCAGCCGGTGGGGGCACTAGCGAGGAGCCTAGGCTAAACTAAACAGGAGATCCTACGTCTGACGCAGCAGGGGATCCTAAACTATGCACAGTGGCCACACCTAGACTAGGCAACACAGGGTAATAACTTAAAAGGTTAAGTCACACAAGAGTCATCAGCATACATGGTATACAAAGTAGAGCGAATTTGATCCATATCTGTCTCAAAGACTGGCACACGGCGATGTACCAGGCTGTGCAATTCGGGGAGGTCTAGCGCAAGGTCGAACCGGAGACGGAAGAGGTCGTCGAGGCGGCAGTAGCAGCGAGCGGCGGTGTGACCAGAACGGTCACGCACAGTGTCGCGAAGGGGGCTGGTCCGAAGCTGGTATTGGAAGGTCACCGCACTGGAACCGCCACCCAACATCGAGGTGCGCGCGCCACCACCGCGACCGCCACCACTAAGAGCGCCAGGCCACCACGGCGGCAGAGGTCCCCACGGCTGCTGCTGCTGCTGTTGCGTCGAGGCATCAGCCCCGGTCCCCTCGTCTACACCACCGGCACTCGCACCACCGCCGCCACCCCCACCACCCCTCCTCTGCCACGCCCCCCATTGGGACGGCGGCTTGACGAGGCTGTGCTGAGGCCACCGCGGCGGCCTCAGCAGCAGTGGCTTTCTCAGCTACAGCAGCAGAAACTTCAGAGTAAGCACACTGGGAGGGAGCACAGCCTTGAAAGATAGGGACTGCCGCAGTCCCAATAGCCTGAGCGATAGCGCGTTGGCGGGTCTCTATCGCGGACAGGGTGGTGACGAACTCGGTAAGGGTGAGGTCAACGGGGTGGAGACCGAGGAAGCGGTCGCGGGCAGTGGCTAGGCGGTCAGGAAGGCAGCTGACGACCGAGAGTGGAGGAGGAGGAGGGGCAATGGCAGGGTCGGAGAAGAGCAGTGGGGAGCGGTGGAGAAGTCAGCCGGCAGAAGCGTCGGCTCACAAGGGAACCAGGTTCGGCGACGATGAGGGGCCGGCAGGTCGGAGCGGCACAGCGGCACGGGGAGTTGGAGCGACGCGGCAGGCTGGGACCAGCGACCGGGCGGGCGGGTCTGCTAGCAGAGGTTGGCGGTGAGCAGGGGCCAGCAGGAACTCAGGCCGGCAGATTGGGGCTGGGGCGAACTGGGGACGGCAAGCAGGGGTCGGCAGGAGCTGGGGCCGGCGAGCGGGGGCCGGCGGGAGCTGGGACCGGCGAGTAGGGGCTGGTGGGAGCTGGGGCCGGTGAACAAGAGGCCGGTGCAAGTCGGGGCGGAAAACGAAGGGGCCGGCGAGTGCAGGGCCGGCGCGCGAAGGGCCGGCTAGCGTGGGGCCGGCGAGCGCGGGGCCAGCGAGCGCGGGGCCGGCGAGAGAGGGGCCGGCGAGCACGGGGCCGGCGAGCAAGGGGCCGACGAGCGCGGGGCCGGCGAGAAAGGGGCCGGCGAGCACTGGGCCGGCGATCGCGGGGCCGACGAATGAGGGGCCGAAGGGGGCGGGGCCGGCGAGCGAGTGGCTAGGGAGCACTGGGCCTGCGAGCGCGGAGTCGGCGAGCAAGAGGCCGGGGAGCGCAGGGCCGGCGCGCGATGGGCCGGGGAGCGCGTGGCCGGCGAGCTAGGGGCCGGCGCACGAGAGGCAAGCGGCGCGCGAGGAGCCGCGCGGCTCGCAAGGGGAGATGCGGCGCGGGCTAGGGCGGCTGCAGCGCATGCTAGGGCGACTAGGGAGGGCTAGGGCGGGCTAGGGCGGAAGCACGGGCGGGCGGACCTAACCTAGCTGATACCATTTGAGAGTAGCGGAATGACTAAAAAACAGGGATACAAAGGAATATATTGTTGGGTGTTGTACTCTCTAAGAGCACAAACCCTTCTAGCCTATAACTGCTACATATGCAAATATGTATAAGTTGACTTGAGATCCCCAAGCTTACCCACGGCGTCGCGTCCGACACTTCCGAGCCTCGAGTCGCCAAAACCACATCGCGTGTTTTTCGTGGCCCTCTTCGAGGCTCCCTTTCTAGATTAGCTGTGATTTTATTTAGCCCTGAGCTTCATTTTTACTCTACACATTTCAATTACTACCTCCCTAGTGCATTACTCGACTATTCATATATAATCATAACACATTGTGCTTAGCTATTTGCCTCTCAACTTTTTCAAACGTTTTTATACACCCAAAAATCTCGTATGAAAATTTTGGGCCATTAATTTTACAGCATTGCATCATAATCATAAAAATATACTTGTTATTTGTTATGGCTATAGGAATATATAACAGATTTTTTATGCACGGGTGTGCTTGATTTCTTCCTCGTTATGAGCTTCACGGATGGTCACCAGTATGATCGAGAGTAACGGGTACAAAACGACACGTGGAATGGGGAATCTTACTGGTCTTACGTGGAGGGTTTTGAAGGGAATGGGAGCTGAAGGGATGAAGTTTCAGTGAATGAACATCAAACCTGGTTCGGAAGCCGAGGCATGGACTCTTAGTGTCCTTGCGTTTTCTGCCTAGACGGGTACGCTGGGGAACCTGGTTTGGAAAGTTACCCGTACCGAACCATGTCCACGTGGTGGTCTCTTGCAGGCTCGGGAGTCATTCAGTACAGTAAATCTGTTCCACTCTACAAGCCGATATATTACCACGCTGAAATACACTGTAACCCAGAAATCTATGACCCCAAGCAATCGGGGAATTATGGAGCAAATCCAGAGTAGCTCTTGCTGTTCGAGTGTAGCTTTGACCGGAAATGTTTTTGCTTCCTCTGTATGATGGTTACTTATTTATCGCCTAAGCACTATGGATGTTGCATTCACGACGTCCAAGTGCGGAAAATCGAATCACCGTAAATGAAATTCGACTCTTCGTCTAGTTACGCAAGTACCCCATTACCTACATTTGGCAAACTCAGATTGTTGAACCTGTAATGCCGGAAATTCGGGGTATAAGCGAGTCATGCTGACTGCTTGGTTTTTGGGACTGTCAGCGTGGAAATCAGCGTGAAGGTTTTGCATATTTGACTGTAAACTTGAAATTTCGAATCTGATAAATACAGTAATCAGTGACAGGTGTAAAGGTTCCAAATTAGCGTACCCGAACCGCCCATGCCGAGCCTACAACAGCCTCCAAACCAGACGCACCTGAGGTCATGTTCCACCGCTCTATATTTATATTTGACCGTTGTAAAACGTACAATGTCCGTACTAACCGGAGTGGCACGCACTGTAGTAACATGCCCTTGGGGCGTGTTTTTGCGCGTACGTTTGATTGCGGTTGAGTAAGATGCTCTTGAATTCAGTAAGTTCAACAATATTTGGGAAACGGTTGGGTGGGGTATTGAGCGAGAAACGTACGCGCGGGACACTCTCAGCATCACACAAGCCAGAGATAAGCACCTTTGCTGGCCTGGCCAACAGCCCTCCCCTTCCCACTATAAATAAGCGCTAAGAGCTCATTCCTTCAAGTGACGCTACTACCTCCTGTTGTGAGTATTCACCGTCCAATTTCCTCTTACTCCCTTCCGGCGCGTTGCACACTCGCCACAATGCTGCACAACATCGTCGACGCGGGCGATGAGGACCGCGTCGTGGAGTCCGTCTTCGCCTCGCGCTACACTTCCGCGAGCGTCCCAAAGTAAGCCCCCAAACGCCGCTCCAATTCCCACTCGTTTCAACACGGAAGCATCCTCCTCATCTCCTCGCTCGACCCTTGCTATTGGGAGTTATGGCTTTTGAATCGACTCGACGCGCGTCTCTTTCGCAGGTACCGGATAGGCAAGGACGGCATTCCCAAGGAGGCGGCGTATCAAATGATTCACGACGAGCTGCTGCTAGATTGTAACCCGCGCCTCAACCTCGCGTCCTTCGTCACCACGTGGATGGAGCCCGAGTGCGACCAACTCATTATGGAGTCGCTCAATAAGAACTATATCGACATTGAAGAATACCCCATCACCAACGATCTGCAGGTTCGACGTTACTAACCGCAGAGCACCCAATTGCTCTTCATTCGATTAAGTCTACTAGATTATTATTATTATTATTATTATTTTCTCGAAATTAGCCCGGCCTAACACGATTTTTCTCCCTGTGTGGCGGCAGGAGCGGTGCGTGAACATCATCGCGAATCTCTTTCACGCGCCGCTGGGCGAGTCGGAGGGCGCGGTGGGCGTGGGCACGGTGGGGTCGTCGGAGGCCATCATGCTGGCGGGGCTGGCGTTCAAGCGCCAGTGGCAGAACAAGCGCAAAGCGCAGGGCAAGCCTTACGACAAGCCCAACTTCGTCTGCGGCTCCGAAGTGCAGGTGAGTTCTGCTGCCGTCTCGCGTCGCCTCGCGTCGCGTCGACACGCGTCGACACGCGTCGTGACAAAATGCGGTTGGTCTTTATTTCATGCCATGGCGATTTGGTCCCGTTGCCGACTCTTCTATTCAACCAATTTGGAATTCCTGTGGAATGCGCGGGGTGCTGGCAGGTGTGCTGGGAGAAATTCTCCAACTACTTCGAAGTGGAGACGCGGTTCGTGAACGTGAAGGAAGGGTCGTTCGTCATGGACCCGCACGAGGCCGTGGAGGCCGTCGACGAGAACACTATTTGCGTCGCGGGCATTCTCGGGTCCACCTATAACGGGGAATTCGAGAACATCAAGCTTCTCAACGACCTTCTCGCGGAGAAGAACGCCAAGACAGGGTAAGAGCACACTCGGGAGCCGAACCGCGCCAACAACAACAATTCAATTCCTGTTATAGGTTTTGTCAAGAAAACAGTCCTTTTCTATCCGAAACGCTACCACCCGCCGGCATTTGACGATCCGCATCCTGCACTCGCACGATGGCAGGTGGGACACGCCGATCCACGTCGACGCGGCGAGCGGCGGGTTCGTGGCGCCGTTCCTGTTCCCGGACCTGGAGTGGGACTTCCGGCTGCCGCTCGTCAAGTCCATCAACGTGAGCGGCCACAAGTTCGGGCTCGTGTACCCGGGCGTCGGGTGGGTGGTGTGGCGCTCCAAGGCCGACCTCCCGGAAGACCTCGTCTTCCACGTTAACTACCTGGGCGCCGATCAGCCCACGTTCACGCTCAACTTCTCCAAAGGTGCGCGCTTTACTGCTTCCTCATGACGGTCAGATATTATTTACTGAATTACCCGATCCGAACCTTTTTTGGTCACGGGCGGCTTTGAGATCGACTGGTTCCTTCGCGGAGTTATATCGTGCTATCCACCTTCAAGGTGCTCCTCCTCACGTCGTGCTCTCCTCTTCCCTACTCGCTCGTTTCCCGTGCGTCGCAGGTGCGAGCCAGCTGATCGCGCAGTACTACCAGTTCATTCGCCTGGGCTTCGAGGTACGCACTCGCCTCTCTCGCCTCACTGACGCCTGCTTGCTTCCTCGTACTTGCGTCTCTCCTCCTCCCCGATTCTACTCCCATTAGAATGGGGAGGCACCTCGTCGCACTTGTCTGACAGGCCAACCTGCTTGTTAGGATCCTAACTCCAACCATCACCTCCCCGCCGTTCCGCTCCTCTTATCTTTCCGCGTTTTCTGCCGTCCTTCGCCTCTCCAGGGCTACCGCAAGATCATCAGCAACTGCCACGCTAACGCGGCCTACCTGCGACAGGAAATTGTCGATATGGGCTGCTTCGACATCTACTCTAAGGAGGTCGGCGTGCCGCTCGTAACTTTCGGGCTCAAGGATAGGAGCAACTTCACGGAATACGAAATCGCGGATCTGCTGAAGCAATTTGGCTGGATCGTGCCTGCTTACACCATGGCGCCTGATCTCGAGCATGTGACTATGCTGCGCGTGCTTGTGAGGGAGGATTTCTCCCGTTCTCTCGCGGATCGGTTTTTCTCGGACCTGAAAATGACGGTGAAGATTCTCGAAGATAGGGCGGCGCAGCTGCCCCGCCCGCTTGCGCCTGCTACCGCCGCTGATGCGCCAGCAGCTGCCGCAGAAGCTGCCGCAGCTGTTGCGCATCCACCTGCGCCTGCCGCGGCGGCACCTGCTGCGGGGAAGAAGCTGGCGCGCAACTTGGCAGACGACGAAAAGTACACGTTTTCCCCGATAGCAGGGACGCGTTTGATGCCACCTAACCAGGGCGTGGAGCACACCCATTCTCCGGATCCTTCTGCCCTGCGGCAGCGCACATTCCGTGTATTCAAGAAGAACAGCATCGCTAAGACGAATGGTGTGTGCTAGATGGTGTGATCTGGTATTAGAAAGCGGAGATGGTACTGTATGCTTAGCAGAAATTATATGCAATTCAAATTGGTTCCTTCACGCTTTCAAATCATGGTCATAGCGAGTGAGAAGCTACATGAACTAGACCAAGCTGCAAATAGTGTCGCTGATGATCTTCAGGCGCAAGCGCCTTAGTAAAGATATCACCTATGTTCACATCGGAGGTGAAGTGTACTACGCGGGTCTGGCGTATCAAAGTGAGAACTGAATGATCGAGTAGAGAGAGAGAGTACAGGTGAATATACCTAAGTGTTGTACCCTCTAAGAGGTGGCCGTATACAGTCTCTGCAAACATAAGAGATACACATGTTTGACACACCCCCTAGACTGCATAGGAGCAGGTCCTGAACAAGCAGCTCAGGGCGGCACTACTAGTCCAGCCTCTGAGACAAGGGTCTAAAGTACCAGTCAGAAGGAGTACAGACAAGGCAAGAACAAGACCAGGGCGGCACTACTAGTCCAGCCACTGGGAGAGGACACAAGTCCAGTCTGAGTACACATATAAAGGACAGTACAAAGTCAAGGCCCTAGCAAGTGAGAGGCTACAGGAACTAGACCAAGCTGTACACAGTGCCGCTGATGATCTTTAGGCGCACGC